GCTATAGGGCACGTATGCTCACCAGAAAGACAGAGAGAGACAGAGAGATAGAAAGCGAGAAATCACCCCCCAGGGGGAATGGCCACACTGCAATCCCTTCTCCTCCATTCTCCTCTTGGGAACTTGGGCACACACGCACATGTGCCCAGCGTGAGTTTAAGTCACTGGGCCTGGGACTCGAACTGTGGTCACTACATGGGAGTCCAGCGACATAGCCATTATGCCAACTGCTGGTCCCTACACATGTGCATTTCTGTTGTGACGTATCTGGGAGTGAAATTGCTGAGGAACAGGGATAGAGCCTGCTCAATTTTAGTGGCTTCTGCCATTGAAGTTTTCTTTTTAAAAAAAAATTATTTAACTTTATCATCATCATCATTATTATTTTAGTTTGAGAGAGAGAGGGAAAGTGAGAAAGCAAGCCACCAGGTTTGAGACTTGGACCGTGGTCAGCCATGTGGGAGTCCAACACCCTCTACCACCACACCACCTGCCAGCCCCGACCATCCAATTTTTCAAAGTCATTGTGCCACTCTCCCCTCCTACCAGCAGCGTGGGCGAGTCCTGACTGCCCGATCCTCTCTGCCACTTGGTGTCGGGCTGAGAACCGAGGCTACAGCTTCGCGGGGCAGCGGGCCTCCCACATGAAGTGCAGTGAAAGAAGCCAGACAGGCGGGTGCACACGTGCAGTATAAAAACACGCGCCTATAAACATAAACTTACAGGCTCGGAAAGTGGACTGTGCCTACATCGCTCTGGAACCTTGTGTAATGTGTACTAAAAAATCTTGACTCCCATTTATGTAAAGCTCAAAAAGGGGGTAGTCCTGAGGGCACAAGGCACTCCAAGGGTGCCAGGAATGCTCTGGTTTTTCACCTGGGTGCTGGTGGCGCAGGTTTATTCCCTTCGTGAGAGTTCATTGAGCCCATACTTGTCGTTTGTGTGCTTTTCTGTAATACATAGGGAAAACAGTTCTGGGCCAACCAGGGGCATGGTGGTTAGGGTGGCAAGCCTGGCTCCCACACGACTGACTGAGCTGTTCGAGTCCTGGACCCGGCGGCTTGAGGAACACACACCATGTGTGCATGTCCAAAATCCTGAGAGGAGAATGGAGTAGAGAGGATTGCAGCATGACTATCTCCCTATGGGGTGATTTCTCACTCTCTCTCCCCGACCCGAGACACATGAACACACCCTATAGCAAAAGTTGAAAGAGAAAAGAAAAATATTTTTCCAAAAATATTCTTTGTTCACCTCCCTCTCTACTCCCTCCCCCATCTTTCGCACAACACGTGGCTGGGAGCCGTCCCTGTCAGAGCCCTCCCCTCATGGCTATGCGGCTGTACAGGTGCACAGGATGGCATTCAAGGGTCCTGGGCCTTGTTTAATGCTCTGATCTGTCTTCCTTGAAAGTCTTTTTTAAATTTTTTTTAATGTTTGCAATCCCTGGTGGGGGAGGTAGCGCCACCTCAATCCCTTTTCCTCCACTCTTCTCTTGAATTTTGAGCATGCATGCACACACATCTGGCAGTTTTTCAAGCTGCAGGGTCCAGGACTTAAGCAGTGCAGTTGGTCACGTGGAAACCAGCCACCTTAGTCACTGTGCTACCAGTCATTCCTATCTTTAAATCAAGAAGAAAAATTTAAAGGATTATTTATTTACTTACTTAATTATTGTTATTATTTAATTTGCTATACAACTCACGCACTCACCAGAGAGAGACACATACAGAGAGAGAGGGAGAAAGCAAGCTGCCAGGTCTAGGACTCAAACTGTGGTCAGCCATGTGGGAGTCCGGGGTCTAAACCACTACGCCACCTGCTGGCCCCCTTGAAATTCTTAATACTTTTGATCAAGGATCCTTTGTTTCCATTTTGTCCTGGGGCCCTCACATCATGTAGCTGGCCCTGCCCCAGGACAGGCAGCTGCCAGAGGCCGTCCCCAGACCCCCAGGCCAGGACCTGGTCTTCGATGGGGACTGAGCACAGGGCCATGTTGACCCTCTGGTCTGAGAAGGTACAGAATGCTTGTGGTGGCTCCCAGCTGGTCCTCTCTCCTGTGAAAACCTAGGAGTGGGAGTGAAATCGCTGAGTCATGAGGTAGGTGCTGACGCAATGTCCCATGGGCTCTCACCACCTGCGGGAGGTCACCATGCCCCCATTCTCCTCTTGGGATGTGGGGATGCATGCACAAGCGCCTGGCATGATTTTCAAGCCTCTGGAAAATGAACCGCTGACGGCCATGTGGAAGTCCAGCAGATTAACCACTACACCACCTGCAGGCCCTAAAGTTCACCATTTTAGCACATATTGCTCAGTAGCATTAAGGGCATTCATTTTGTCGTGCAGCCATCCCCACCATCCATCTCCAGATCGTTGTCATCTCCCACATGGAGACCGTATTCATTAAGCAATAGCTTCCACTCCCTCCTCCCGCTTCCGTGATTTCCCGTGTGCTTCTTTCTTCCCAGCTACTCTGTGGGCTCCACAAGGGCCAGGCTGGGCCTATCCATCTCTGAATAAGAAAAATCATACACGGTTTGCGCAGAGCTTGGAGGAAGTGGTTAGCCAAATACAGTTTTATTAAATAAACAAAAATGTATTCTTTTTTTTTTTGAAGAGGTTTTTGCTATAAGGCACGTGTGCTCGCCAGACAGATGGAGAGAGACAGAGAGACAGAAAGTGAGAAATCACCACCCCCC